TCTTGTACTCCCTAAATTTCAAATAACATAATTTTTTTGATAAACGTGATCTCTCAGTGAAATTTAGATTGACACATAGATTATCTATTAATACACACTCGTACAAAATTTCAAAGGCTAAAATTAAAAAAAGAAAAAATAATCAACTCTGTACAAACTTTCTCGAGAGCTATCTTTTGATACCCTTCCAAATCCCCTCAACTTCCAACACTTATAACTTCCTATATACATATAATCTAGGCATGAAACAAATATTTAAACATACACTCTACAATCAATAAAACTTTTGAGAGAACTTTCATAACATGTTTTTTGGTCCCTAATATCAATTTTCTCTCAAAATGACGTGTTCAGGTGAACAAAACATACAAAATAACTTCTAGGATTTTGTATGAAACTTCTCGATAAACAAAAGGTACTTTACTTTCAAGCATTTTCTCCGCTCTTTCATTCCCTAGTGTTCACTTCAAATGATATCTCATAGTACAAGATCTCGAGCTAAGGGAGTACGGGATCAAGTATAGGAAGTACATCGACGATATATTTAGGATTTGATGACAAGCTCAAGAAAAATATTCTTGAGCTAAAAATCAAATCCTAAATATATTGTCTTTTAGATTGAAGTCCCAGCAATGGAACCAAAAATGCAATTCCAACTTGACTTTCACTCAAGTTTACCTCAGATAGCTTTGCTATAGCTCATCGTGATTCTAGACAATCAGAATTATTGCTCATGTTCATGTTTCAAACATCCTCTCACACGATCCCTCAATTTATCATTCCAATTTACACACACATTGACTCTCCAAGATATTGAAAATCGTAAGTCTTTATATATAAAAAAATCCTCTACACATGGATTCTTTAAACTTGATTGAAATGCTATTCTCTATCTCTTTATATATTTTACATGAGAATTTAACATGCTAACAAATAATAATTCTTATCAAATTTACGTTTACAAAGATAAATCATAGTAAATTTAACTAGTTATCAATATATGACTGGATCATTTCGAATTAAAATTTCATTTTGAAAAATTAAGTTTTTAAATTTTCTACTTTGTTTACAATCACATACAATTTTTTTCTCATGATTATCAAGAAAATCTTTAAATACATTAGTAACATAATTGTTTGACTTTATTAATTTGACAAATAAATCATATTATTTTGCACTACTAATGAAGCATTGTAACATTTGGGATATGTAAATAAGAACCAAATCATATTTTTATCATAAACAGTCACTACAGAAGAAGTCAAGTATGATGTACTTGAAATAATTGCTTGACAACTTCTGTGCGATAAGACAGAGATTTATGTTGTGATAAAAGGTATCAAACGATGTGCATCGAACATGACAACCATTTGGATGAAAACTCTTGTATCGGATACAACGCATAATACCTTGTTATACTTTCTTTGAATCACTCTAAACTTCATCTTTTATTCCATGAATCAACTCAGATTTTTTTCCCTCATGTAAAAATTTCAAGCTTTGTATTTTGTGAAATTATTTCAGACATCTTTAATATACACAATCCACTTTTTCTACGCAAACCAATTTCTCTTGGGATGCTGCATCATTCTCTAGATGGTTTACTCTTTCGGCCATTTTGGATCATATCATGAAGAATAAAGTTATCCAGGAGCAATTGAACCCAACCCTCTTGATCCGACACTTCATTCTCATCCGCTACCTTCGGAACAATTTATCTGATCTATCTTCGTTTCCTACTTATTTTACCGTGAACTTGTGAATTTGGTCATTCTTTAGTCGTCCTGTAAAGCCTGTAGAACAAATCCTACAAGTAATCTGACACTCAAGAATCAAACAGTGCAATAAGCTGTGCGACATGGGTGATATCCAAAGAACTGCGGCCTATTTTTTCCCCATTTTACGCAACATGCCGACAGTGTTACAACATAAGCAAGCAACAAAGATATGGAACCTATTCGAAGTGTAAAATGACAAGTTCTGTAAACCATGAATCTTCTCTCATTCATCTTCAAAAGATCAAAAGATCTTCGGTCAATTCCTTTACGCTAGTAGATTCCTTTACTGCAAAGTGGACAGTTTGATTGGGTTATCTCTCAGTCATAATAAAAGAATGCCCCCCAAAATTATTACAAACTGTTGAACTTCCAATATATTCCAGTCTGCCGGAGCCTACACTCTATCACGGTTCTGCTTTTACACCTTGTCTGTCATTGTCGGGATCATCTTACGTTGGAATCGATGGTTGGAAACATTTTCATGTGGATGACTTGTGCTCGTGGGTGAAGAAATTGGACGGCTGACACAAGTTTGCTTGTCTTACCAACGGGAGGAGATTTGTCGAAGGCCAGTCAACAATTCCAAATGTAAACGCAAGTCCAGAGTATACATTCAGTCACGGTCGACTATGGTTTCAGAGCAAAATTGGAAAAATAGAAAGAATACGAGAAAGCGCACCAACTCAAGAATAAACGAAGAGCACAATCTTCGTTCAAAGTAAGAACCAGATTTGACGGCTCAGGTTTCAAGTCTAGAACGCAAAAAAATTCAACTCATTTTCAACGCAAGTCTTCGAAAACCCAATCGGCAAGTCAGACATACAACAGCTTATCTCTTTCTCCTTCGAGCATGCAAGTCCGTTATGACCACGCAACACTTTCCTCTTGATTCTAAGACACGATAGAAAATGAGCGTGCCTCCAGACCTCTCGGAGCATCTCTCTCCCATTCTTCGGCCCTAAACTCGGCAAGGCAAAGTGCGTTGGTCATTTGTGACAGAGACAGATACAGATACAGAGAGAGAGGTCTGATCACCAAAATATGCTCCGAAATACAAGGCTTTGTTTGTACGCCAAGGACAACGAGTGCGGAGGCAGGCAGGTGGGTGGGGTAGGGTGGTGGGGTGGGGGAACCTGATGCAAGAGAGATTTGGGGCCCATGCATGACAGCAATTGCATCTGAATCTATTGTTGACGCGTTGTACAGGTACGTTTCACAGGACGCATGACAAGCCTTCGGTCACTGCTTCTATACTTTTGGCCCGGCTGAGAGGCCATGAAGCTCATCAAATTTCAGGAACACAGATTATGAGCGAGTTTGTTGGTTAGGTGACGACGAGATCCCTCTACCACTCTACACAAAGTCCGAGTTCGGAACCGAACCGGATCACTATGACGCTGGCCAGGTACAATTGCACACCTCATCAACAACACCTTCTTCTCTCCGTCCTCATCCAATCCAGCAGCAGATAACTCTGCCGACCGAGCTTTCTCTTCCAGTTTTGCTGTTTACTTATTCCTGTTTAGCTGTTCTTCTCTATCAATATAAAACGACCAAGACCATATTCTGGCGCACTGAGAAAGCCACCCTGCCTTCAGATCTTACACAAGCTCCCGCCACTCAAAGCCTTCAGATGAGTTCAGATTCACGGCGCAGCCAAAGGATGATGGGCATTCCGTCCTCACTGAGGAAGTAATAAGACGGATTTTTGCTCCAGGATCCAAGAGTTCAAACCTGGGCCTCGTGGGTGAAAACTTAGTAGGGCACTCTGGACACTTCCTCCTCGGTGACGCACGGTGACAGGTCCGTCGTCAACGTGGAAGGGATACTTTCAATCACTGTGAAGATATTTCTCGTACCTCGAGCAATTACAACAATGGACGGTCTCTCCTTTCGGGTTGCGCGTATTGCCGGGACGTTCAAGGGGTCTCCTCAAAATTGATTTGGATACAAAAAGTTAACTGTAGTGATGTGATATAAAATTATTTCACAACCCTGTAGAGCAACCTTTCGATTAGGTCTTTTCGGTGAAGATATAAAATTATATTATCATTACAGTAAAGGACACATCAGGCCCAGCCTTAAACATCAATGCTATGTATTTACTGTACTGGCTAGGACGGTCCAAAATAGCTGGCCTAAGAGTCTAAGACCCCACCAAACTCGGTTTAGTAGACTATCTGGATCAGACTCGGAGACTCAAAAATTAGTTGGGTGCACGATGAGGGTGAAACCAACGCTGCTTTCCCAAGGGACTTCGAGATCAAGTGGGGAGTGGATTTGACCTGTGATCGGACACAGAAGCAAATCTTCTGTACAATCCGAGATGGATGGCAGGCTAGAGTAGGTGTTGATCTGGTCTTATTGTACAGTACAACGAAAAGACAAGACCAGACACCATATGACCGCCGCTAGAAAGGAGGTGACTGACTGTGCGTGCGTTCAGGACAAAACCTCCTGGCCAGGTCTCGGGTACAGCCCACTGGATGACCGATCCCCTGCTGACGACAGCATCGACTCCTAACATTATTGCTTACTACGGAGTGGGCCCAGGGTGGGCCGCAAATATTCCCATTCGGATGAAGTGACAGGGACGAAAGCCACTCGCTGAAACAACTATCGCGAGACCACCCCAGCGTGGGCTGCAAGTATTCAGATCCAGATGAATTGCCAGGGATGAGCCACGGTCGCAGTCACAAGGTACGGTAATACCTAAGCTCAAACAACGGTATCACTTGCTTTACCACGGACGTAACCATGTACTTTTTAAATATCCTAGATGTTGCAGCAGTAAAGAAAACAGAAAGAAACGAAACTCCTCACGGGACACCGAGACTTGAAGACCCTCATAGGGGCCCTACATCGTAAAGGACATTACACGTTTAGGAGCAAATGATAGAACTCGGAGTGACAACAGCGGCTGGCTCAAAAAAGTGTGCAAACTGGGGTCCTCACCATTATTCAGGCATGATTGAAGGCATGAGAAAATACACTGTAAAACAACAGGACGACTGGAACACCACTAGAATCATACCCCTCTAGAAAATGAAAACGGTTTTTTGACTTTCCATCAAAGCGTGGTAAAAAAATTGTACACATATTTCCAAGCCACAGTTTGCTGAACAGAAAAACCCATGGGAAGAAAGTCTCCGAGTGAAGGTGACCGCTTAGAGTATCCAAAAACCGTATGCAAATCACGACACGCAGCAAAAATCCCGAAAGAACCCAGAAGAGAAATTGCAAATAAATGCACATGACGATTGTCACAATTATACAGTAATTCATCATACATTGTTTCACCTTTCGAATGAAAGCTATACAGATATGAGGCACTTGACACCGTCTACAGCTGCTCGGGCATTGCTCTGACCTGTTTTCTCCACAGAGCACCTCCATCCAGGCCGTTCCAAGCGGCACAGATGAAGAAGTGCTCTAGAAGGCAATGGGGAGAACTAAGGTGCGGGACTGTGAAGCTTTTCTGAAGGAAAAAAGCCGCCATGCACCAAAGTCGTGGGAATAACAATCCTCCACCACTAGTGCATGATTCGGACACAGCCCCAGTAGAAAGTGCGGTCAAAAAGTGCGTGTCTCAACTTCGTCCTTTTTAAGTGTGGCGACGCAAATTCGGACACAGGCTGAAGTTCTATTAAGGAAAATCTCTTAAGAGAAAGCTCAAAGGAGAGTGTAGGAATTTCACGACTTTCTAAATCATTTTCTACGAAAGCCAATAAGTCCTAAAATACTTTCATAAATTCCTAACAGGTGCCTCCGGTGCTTCGCGTCAGACCGACCACGGTCACTCAAATATCTTAAGTATGTACATTGTCTGACCAGCCCCTGATAATCTAGGGAGAACCGAAGGCACATTTAGGATAACCCACTCTCCGAATAGCTATCCCAAGAAATGAATTATTGACATTATGGACGTGAAGTTACGGACTGGGAGAGGACACAAGTTTCAAGGATGGGGCCAGCCGTGTCTAAGATTTTAAAGAACAAACACTTCCCACATCACTGTGCATTCTCAATGGAAAAGTGAATGGCTGGTTGGTCTCTCTTCTCCAAGCAATGGTTTGAAAGGGGCCGGGGTAGGGTCTCACTTGATATGAGCGTCGTAAACAGCGAATACGCTCTCTGAGACCAAAAGAGGCAATTTATCAATGTACATGAAGAGTCGTTGCAGGTTATCCCTAGCTAAAGTCACCATGTCCTGCACGTCCCCGCTATCGGTGAAGATCCACAAATCTCGTGAGTTTACACGTTTCAAACTGTCTCTGCAGAACGGGCATGACTGCGACCGCGCATGCCTGCGATCAACGTACCCTTTTGAGTTAATGTCGTGAACAGCTTGCAAACGCATTCTATCGCAAAATCCGGATTTGACCGTTTGAGCTCTGCTATCCTAAGGATGATCCAAATGCCACATTCTCGTGACAGTAAACAGGAACAAATTTTCGACTCCAACGATTAGATTGTTTAAAACTGCCCATTCATCCTGGATTCATACAAATTCGAGATCTAAGAACATGCATATTTCATGGTGATTTGTCATACTTATTGGAGGTCTAGCCCCTCAAAACCTACGGATCGAATAATAGAACTGGATAACAACTTTTCTAATTCGACTAACGGAATTGCCGGATAGCAAAGCGCATAAGCAGCAGACTTGCCAAGTATACGAGGCGCTCAGAGAATAAAATACGTTTTTTCTCTCGGTTATGATTCGAACATTTGTTTACTACGCGCTAAACTTTCTCCACAGAAAATCTAATAGTTGAATAGAGCGAAAAACAAATATTTTTCCGAAAATGAGAGCATCTTCAAATTGAGCGAATTCCGACAACTCACCATTCTCTGTAGCATTTGATGCACATTGCGTGGTTGCAATCAGGCAGAGCAATTTTGTTATTGGTCTCCATGCAAATTCCACACTCCTGCTCCCTTTCCAAGTCGAGGTCTGACATGTGTCCCCTCTCTTCATCTGATTTCTTCTTGTACCTCTCCATGCAAAGCGCCTTCTGCTTCATATCTTCAACCTCGGTGATACCGCCTTGCAATTGCTGCAAGGAAGGGTAGATATAGGCTGGAAAACAGAGACGAATTCATCAGACGGATTGCACCTGTTGGCAGATCTACCTTAACCAACGAATCGGACCTTCGGAAGACGACTGGCGGCCTAGCAATGGACTTCCACGGATGCGGAGAATGCAGCGCGTGCAGAACGATCTTGACCAGCGACGTCTAGAAGTCGGCACATGCTCTCCTCAGAAGCTAATTAATTATCTCGATCGCTCGTACGCTCAGCCTTTCTCTCACGATACGGCGGACTTGCTATCAATGTCATGACCACGAGATGCTGGAAGGACGTACCATAAAACTCCCTTAGGCTCGCCTTTCGCTCATGAGTTGACATAGTTGTGGTCCCGTCCATGTACACCTGCGCATCATCGTAGGGAGCACGCTGTTTTTGCAAGTCTACTTAGAATCGCTTCATGCGTCGGATGATCGCCGTCCGGCTACAGAACATGTGTGCGGTGCGAGAAAGACGCGAATCAGCAAACCACGTCGCCGTGGAAGGGGGCAAAACTGCAGCATACCTTATAGATGAGAATGCGCAGCAGGCCCAACGCGCCCGCGAGGCTACAATCGGTCCATCGGACGAGAAACAAGAGGAAATGTGCTGCCGGGCTGTAGGAAAGTCTCATTTGGAGACAAGCGCCATCGTAATCTCGAGGAAATTCTGACGCCCTGCCATCGACCGAGCCAACCGAAATTAATTAGTTAGTGCATGCTAGACGAGAGCAGCACTCCGCAAGTATCTTCTGACTGACGACTGTCTGTCTCTCGGCATCATCTTCCTCCCTCGACGCCCGAGTTGTTGCAAGAGGGTGTGAGCGCTGGAGGGAAAACCAAACCCAACCCGAGGCACAGAATCCAGAGAGATTGCACACAGAGACGCAGAGAAGGGAAGGGAAGCGCACGAGAAATCGGCAGAAATGTGACAGTTGGGGCGACGGCACTCACAACGTATTGGCATGTTGGATGTCAGCTTCCAGCGCTTTGAGAGACTCCTTGAACGACTTGCCTTGGCCCATAGTCAAGAGTAACATGGCGCCTGCAGCGAAATTCGCGATTCTTTGTGCTGGTGAGAGAGTGTTTCCGCAAACTCAGGAGGTCCAACGCCGCACCCAAACCCTCCGAGAGTCGGTATTCGATTCTGTAGTGGTTGAATGTTCAACAAACTTGCGCGTCGTCGAACATAAACGCAGATAAGAGCAATACGGTTAGGCTATCGATAAATTTCTACGCAGTACGGGATCTTGGGGTGGTCGTAAGAAGAAGGCCGCCGGGAACCGCAGCAACCAATTGTATGGGGTAAGAAAACTTTCTGTTGTCGGATAGAAGCAGACCTTGGCCTGACCCTCGAGCCTCTGCGCCGCTGTATCTGATGAGACTCGCCCTCCTTGACGTCATTCTCTCCCCAGTACCCTAGAGACTTTCAGCAACCTGTACAACTTGTGGGATGTCTCGCTTCACTGCTCTGTCGGTCGCGTCAGCTACATTCAACTGCTAATCAACTAGAAGACTTTCCTGATATGAATCACTCTTCTGTCTGTAAAAACACCGGTGCGCAAGTGCTCGGCGTGATCAAGATCGTTACGACATCTTCGCCTCGGCCGCGGGCGTCCACTCCGACCTCCAATTGGACAACTGCTCGCAATCTCCCGTGCGTTCCCTTCTCCCTCGCATCCACAGAACAAACCATCATAGTCTCGTGTGTCTTCGCTCGCAAATCACAACCAACAACGAGAGATTACACCTTGCCAGCTCGAACGCCAACCCAGCGCAACTCCACCACACCCGAGGCACAGCAAGTGCTATCGGAAATTGTCCATCAATTTCAATTTGCAATTACAAGGCTCGCACGGGCGACGAGCGACCTCGGCCGAGGAGGCTGCCGGACAGGCCAACACCGCTGCTTATAAACCTCGACTCCACCACACGCCGATCATCAATAAATCTCCCAAAGTCAAACATTCTCATCGGACGACGACCGTCCCGCAATGCATGAGGTTGTCGCAACTCTTCTCCGATTCCATACCCCGCTCGGCTCCTGGCCGCACCCAAGTCGATCGATCCACGCCGAATTGCGCGATCAAATGCGCAACCGAATCAATCAATCCCTTCCCTCGGACTGTCGAGTCCGCGCAAGAGCCAGGCGAGCCCTCGGAGACGCCCAACAACGAGATTGCAGGTGGTGCGGTGCGCACCCAAATCGGCCAGCCAGCACTCTCGAGCCCCGCAGCCGCAGGCCCCCTCCAGGCCAGCCCCCCCGCAGGACAAGAACCCACACCAACTCCCTCCCCCTCCCTCCCTCGCTCCCTCCCTCTGCCGGAGGCACGGCACGGCGATACGAGCCCCGCGGGCTCCTGGCGGGGCGTGGGGGCCAGGCCAGGCCAGGAGGGGCACCACCGAAGAAGACTGGCAAGCTGGCTGGCGGGTGAGCAACCGCCGGAGAGTGGCTCTCGCTAACAAGAACGAGCCCCCCGAGGGCTTGGGCTTGGGCTTAGCTTTAGCGCACGCGAACGAACGAGCAAGCGAGCGAGCGAGCGAGCAAACGAGCGATCAAGCAACAAGCGAAGCGAAGCGAGCGAGCGAGCGAGCGAGGTAGCCCCACCGAGTTCGTAATCAAAGCCCCGACAATAGTACTCCGCCTTACGACCGCCTTGTGTTATGAGCATGCCCCCAGTGCCTCCGTCGGCCCTCTAGTCCCTCCAGCGGCCCAATTGTATTTCCCCCCTCCCCCACCCCCTGGCCCTCCCTCCAGCCGGGGCCTAGATCCTCTTTACCCCCGGATCCGGGGCTCGTCTCGCCCCGAACCAAGCCCAGCCCCGACGTCAGCCCCAGTCCGGACACGGAATCTGCTGCGCTTGGGGCCATGGGCGTCGCGGGCCCGATCTCATCCATCCCCCCGCCCATTGTCTCTCTCTCTCTCTCTCTCTCTCCCTCCCTCCCCGGAAACCTGCTAAAGCGAAAAGAGCACTACGAGACGGCCGAATGGAAGAATCCGCCCGCCAAAAGCTCAACCATCTAGTCGCTCCCTCCGCCGAGCGAGTGTATGTTCGGCCCGTTGTCGTGTCCGACACGACCAAACACGAATCCGGTAACGAAAACGAACCTGACTTGGCATGAACATCTTTTCCACCCTCACGCTAAGGCTCGATGACTCTGCATCGATTTCTCACCTCTGATCTCCAATCATTTCTCTTACGTCTTTGCTTGCTTGCTTGCTTTTTCAGATCGAAGTCGATGCATATGTGCCATGTTTATTTAATCTTTGATGTATTGAAAGAATCAAGCGAGCTGGGTCTGTTTTGCATCACTGAAATAGATTCATTCTATCCATGGTTGTAAAATAATCAATATAATAAATACATATACAACTTTAAACCTGCATGATCTATGTATGACTTAAAACTTCAATTATATTATCTTTTGTTTGACAAAAAATATTCTAATAAAATATCTGCAATAAGACATAAACTAATCTAGACTTCGATCTTGTTATTCCTCCTACTACAATATCTACTGGCTACTAATTAAAAACTCCTTACGCTCTTATTACAGTAACGATGCAGACTGTAAGATTTAAATTCCGATGCATGGAAGTGCTAATTTGGTAACTATCATGCAATCGACTTTTTTACTTGTATCAATTACTTTTATCTCGATGATGATATTCTGCATATACTCTATTCATCGCTCCTCGTTTTATTTGGTCATGTTTGATTATGGTATCAATGCAGATGCAAGATGAATTCATAAAACATGATGTACGCTTGAATTATAGAAGATAGATACCTGGGTTGCCATCAGATATGAGATATTTTCTATGAAGCATGAATGTGCATATTTCACATGACAAGAAGTTTACTATGCTTTGCTTTAAAAGAGGTTTTGAGCGAAATAAGTATTGGTTCAAGAGTACGGAGTTGTTATAGAAGACGTGATGGTTAATGTAAAAGTGTTCTTAAGCATATTGAAACTTCATTTCACTGACTGCCAGTGTGGCAGCAGCAATTAAATTTTATGGGGAGGCAGAGCGTTTGACTCTTTTTTCTTCAAATTTGAAGTTACATGGAGCTATGGCTACGAATTTTGACATGTTCGTTGATAAATGAGCAAAAACCTCTCATACTATGCAGCAAAATATACAATATCTTCAACATATAGTGTTATTTATTGTGGACAGTGTATTTTCATTGCTCTACGGATAGCATTGGCTAGCCTGACATGTAAAGGTAAACTTGACTTATTGATGTTTTTGTATATCATGGTTTCATTAAAAATAATTTGTTAATTTACTTCAGTTATCAACCTTCTGTTATGGGTTCGAACTCATACGAACAAAATGAGGATGACTATTCACAACCTTCGCCATTAGTTCACGATGACGCTAACAAAAATTCAGCGGTCAGTGCATTCATACCGTCATGTACAGGTTTTGAGATTATAGCTCTATCTACGTAGTGCAGGAAGTTTGTCGTCCGCACCACGTTGGACCTCCAAACTGCGTACAAACTGCGTTAGGGGTGGTTTCGCGACTTTGCGCTGTACCATGGGCTAGGAAGTATTTCCCGAAGTATTTCCCGGGACGTATTGTTCCGTAGCGGTACAGGAGCCCAACATGTTTCGGTCCCTCGGTCCCACGGTCTATAAAGCAGCGGGGTCGGAGGCTCACCGGGTCGGAGGAAGAAGCCCATGGGAACCAATGAGAGAACCTACGAACATTCTCTGTGGGGCCGGATGGGGCAATAAGCGCAATTTTCCCACCGGGGGGCCGGGGGGGCTCTCGGGGGATGTGTCGGACGAAGCGCGGAGCTCTCTTGGGGCACGTCAAGAGCAACTCATGAATGTCGCAGCCCCCATCTCGCTGCAAGGAAGCTAAATTTAGCCGCGCCGCGGTAACTATTCCTGGGCGGAGGTAAAAGTTCCTTCCGGGGCATTGGAGCAGCGGAGGATAAAGCGAACAGCCGAACCGTATCCTTCGGACGCAGCAGAGGGCTTCGCGAACAGGAGGCAAGACTTTCTCGGGCAGCGCAGCCCCAGGATAAGCACTTCCTTTGATCTCCTTTGGCCCCGAGTCCACGTGTCGAAAAGCGCCCGAATTGCCCCCCATCCTGCATGGGCTGCCAGGCCCCAATCCAAGATCGACCATCGAACGTGGCATCAATCTTCTCGCTTGCATCACCAATTTCGTCTCGACAGAGCGCATCTGACTCCAATAGTCTGCAGTAGGCCATACAGTGGACGCTCGAATGGTCACAGCGGCGACCTGTCTTCCTGGAGATCCAGTCGCCAAATGTAGAGGATTGAGGATTAAGGATTAATTATCCTTTCACTGTTTTCGTGAACCTCATCTGGGGTTCGAATCCGCCAGCCTAACAAGAGTCACTTTCATGGACCTGTACATGGACCTATTCACGACGTAGTTGAAAACCCCGTTCTGAAGGGTGATATTTTGTGGTGTCGTTTGCGGATATTTGCGGTCGAGACTGTACTGTACCGCCTTGCCCAATCTCTTCGAGTAGAACATGATTCTCTGCTTTAGATGACTTCTGGTGAAGAAAGTTCATTTGAAGATGTGAAGCAGAGTCAGCAACACATTGCTACTTCCCTGAGATTTGATCACCTTCATCCACAACTTATATCTAGCATACTTTCTTTTATTTCACGCAAATAAAACTCGAAGTGTTTAATTCTCATTTTTCCATAAAATGTACACATGTTGTACAATGATGTCGGTTAACATGAAAGTATATCCTATTATCTATCAAGTATTATTGTATTCATGGCTACCTTATTTGAAATTCAATCTTCAATTTGATTTTAAATTTTTCTTTTTCTTTTTCTTTATATTCTTTTTCTTCAAATCATATTAGTGAAATTTTAAAATAAGCATCTTTTTTTTCTAATCATATCTACATATAAATTTTAAAAATTGATAAAAATTAAAATATAAACCCGTCAATATAATTCAAATGAATCAAATTATAAGTTAGTAGTTTAAATGAGAGTTTTTGCAATAAGGAGAAAAGGGAAAAAATTCAAAGAATTAAATTACAAACAATGTTACATGTGTGACATACACAACATAGTGATGGCAGTAACTCATTTCAACTTCGTAGTCGTAGTAGCCCTTGGCCTAACAGTTGATCGCGCTTAAGTCTACACTATGATCGGCGACGGTTGGTGCGGACTTATGGTTTTGACGTTGTGAACTTTATGTAGTACAAGTAGGTTTAAGGTGACGCTTCTTCACTTTGCTCTTCTGGTGGCGATATATGAAGCTGTTCAAGCATTCTTGATTGCAAAAAATCCATTGTAGAGGACTTCGCGTGTGAGAGTGTTGTGGCATATCGGTGAGAATTTACATTTTTTCTACCTGCTAGTTAGTGTGTTTTTGCACGACATGAAAGCGGTGTTTTTTTTCTTCTGTCATCTCTACGAGTTAGTGTGTTTGTGTACAACTTGAATGCAGTGTTTTTTTGCTTATGTCGAATCCGCAAGTTACCTACGAGTAGGTGTGGTCCTGTATGAAAGGTTGAATGCCGTGTTTTTTCTTCAGTCACATCCGCGCGACCAAATGTATTGTGCATCTTTGCGTGACTAATTTTGAATATCGACAAGAAAGCATTAGAGACTCCTCTCTTGTCATCTAATGAAAGGAGTGACCGGAGACTTGGGAGTTGGCTTGTAGGAGTTTCTGGTTACAATTCCGGAGATTTTGTGGTGCATTTTGTACAATGAATGCACAACAAACTTCTAATAGTAAGGACGAAGACAAGCGTTTGCATGATACTCATTGAATGGAAATCATCAATTTACTAGAGGCGTCAAAGCCACCGTTCATGCGTAGCGTCACTCGACAATTTAGTGTTGATGAAAAAGTTAATCGAAGGAGTAAGTCTAGCTAAGATGAAATAAGTGAATGAGCACATAGCATCAATCAAACCACTCAGGAGTTAACGTTCCGTGCTTCTCAGTTGATGTGTCATGATATTGAAAATAAGCTTCTTGAATGAATTGATGTAGGACAGTGAGCTTCGCTTGTTTTGACTCCAAGTATTATTTGCCAGAAAGCAAAACAGATGGCCATCACAATGGATATGATTGATGATAAATTCAAAGCATAGTGGGGTTGGTTTGCGATATTTTGACATCAACACGGTTTAAACAACGTAAATTTGTTTATAGAAGATGATGAGGTCGATAGAAACAATCTACTAACATTAAAAGCTTTGAAATACTTGTATGTTCTAATTGGCCAATATGATCATGCATGCATTTACAACATGGATTAAACTGGATTGTTGTTTCATGATATATTGTGCTAATGCCTCATGAAAATCTGACCACTATTCGGGCAAAAAGCGGGCAAAAATAGGGTAACATTGATGATGTGTTGTGACGGTAGTGGAACAAAACGAGTCTCGATCATAAAGATTGGAAAGACGAAGCAGCTTGTCTGCATTTCCAGAAACACTTGGCTCATTATTTATTTTCATCAAAAAATTAAAGTAATAAAAGCTTGGATCGATGTCCCGACATTCAATAAATGATTTCATGAGATCTTTGATACTTATATTCGTCGATGGACATGACACAAAGTGTTGTTGTTTTTTAACAATATTCTTGGTCATGCTA